CAATTTACAACTTCTATGGATTTTCTGATAAAAATGTTTTCGTTCTACTGGCCAAATTACAATAATTAATGCCTTTTATGTTTTATTTTGTCTAAAACACAAACCGAGAATAATTAAAACACTTGCAGTTTCTTGCTAAGAATGATGTATAACGCGAATGAATTTCAACAAAATGAAAAAAATCAAATAAAATACTTTCAATTAATCGATTAATTGCAATAATTAACCAGTTAATCAATTTAAGCACCAGAACAAAATAAGAAATCCGGCGCGAAGGACCAAAATGTTTTGCGGGTAGCTAATACGTAATGTCTTAGCTGGTAGTGGACTGTATTTACTTTGCGGCGCAACCTCTAAATAATGATAAAAAGGACTTACCCAATGATTCCATAAGTGCACTCCTGCAGGGGCCCTGCTTTACACACGCGCTGCGGATTATGGTGTTCCCAATTACGGGTTATGTAACTTTGTAGAAGGTTGATACGAGAGGACTTCACAATGAAGTTTTGAGATTAGAAATATTGCGACCGGGTTAAGCCGTACGACGACGCGCCCGTGTCGTCTCATCGAGTTTCTTAGCAAGTCTGTCCAATTACTCGCTTCTGGTACGTCCACTATCAAAATCTAGAGGTACGACTTTTTTTGCGCGAAACAAAACAAAAAAATGCGAGCAAACAGGAATTTTGCACCTTTGCCAAATTCTATAAAATTTATTTAGAATAAAGACGAAACAAATAGTATTACCCATTAGAAGTAGTTTGCACTAGCTTTAGTCTACCGGTAATGGATTTCGGCGCGGTATTTATACCAAATAAATGCTGACTCGTCGACTCACTCTAGTAAAACTGATGTACAGAGTGGTACTTACTTAAGTAGTTGACAATATTGCCACACTAACAATTGATTCTGAAAACCAGACCAGCAGTACCTATTTATTAGTCCAAAAATCTGAATTGACTTACCTCAGATAAACGTGTCACTACCAATCGCACAAAATGATATGCTGCAGTCGTATGGATTAGCCCAGACGGTTTTTGAACCTACCCGCGGTAACAACTGTCTGGATAATATTTTTATAAATTTTTCAGAAACTGAATACCTTGCTTGCATTGTAAAGCCAGGAAAATCAGATCACAATGGGCAACTTGTCTCGTCAAATTGTCCTTCTCAAAAAAGTAATCAAAAATACTCAAAAAAGATATGTCAGCCCATAACACAAGTAGGTACCTACATATTTTATCAAAAAATTTTTGAAATTGATTTTAGATTTATAGACTCTCCTACTTCTGTAGAGGTAAAGTTTCAGAACCTTGTGCAGGAGTCGGAGTGCTGGAGTCGTTCCCAAAAAAAACATATAAAGTAAAAGAAAATCAAACAAATAACATTGATTGGTTTAATAATGACCTAAAAAATATGAGAGAACACCTTCAGTACCTAAATGGCATCTTTAAACTCCATCCAACAAATCAGCTTAAAGAATATATAAAAGATCTCCGTCAAAGCTACAAAAAAGCTATAAAAAAGGCCAAAATTCAGTGCAATGAAACTAAAATAAAAAATTCTACCAATCCAATTAGATGCATGTGGGAACTAATTAATGAGTATCGTGGTGAAACAAAACCTACAGAAAATGACCAAACAACATTGACTGCACAAGATTTTAATAATTTTTTTGTAAGTATAGCTGTGGATCTGCAGAACAAAATAGACGAAGAAGATTTAGACCCCATTTTGAATTTACTTAAAATTAATGCATTAATCCTTTTCCTTTACGGAACTCGCATTTAACGAAGTACGTGATGTGATTGACCACCTTAAAAACAAGGCAAGCAAGGATATTTTCAACCTTAATATAACCCTAATAAAATCAGTCAAAAATCTCTTAATAATACCTCTTACAAAATTAATAAACCATTGCATTAAAGAGAAAACCTTTCCCAATTGTCTAAAAACAGCAAAAGTAATTCCAATATTGAAAAAAGGAGATCCAAATGATCCAGGCAACTACAGACCGATCTCACTTTTGCCAGTTTTATCGAAGATTCTTGAAAAATGCATAGCTATACAAATATCGAGTTACCTAGAGCAAAATGACCTACTTAGTAATAGTCAGTTTGGTTTTAGGGGAGGCAAGAATACAACTTTAGCAATTTTAAAATTGATAGAAGGTATAATGGAAGGTTTTGAGAGCTCTCAACACACAGTTACCACCTTCTGTGACCTGAGCAAGGCCTTTGACTGTGTCTCGCACGACATTCTGCTTAAAAAACTGCCTTTTTACAAATTTTCGAACGACAGTGTGGATCTAATAAAATCCTATCTGACTAAACGATCTCAAATTGTTAACTATAATGACATTAATTCGAGCGAGCAAGAAATAAACTAGGCGTACCACAGGGCTCAATAATTGTGGGTCCTATTCTATTTCTAATCTATATTAATGATCTACCCAAAATAGCAGAGTTCGAAAAGTATGTAAAATTTGCAGACGATACCACAGGTCAAGTTCAACATCCAGATCTACCAACAGCTGTCCGTATGTCGGGGGAGGCAATGAGCAATGAGGGCTAGGCAATGGTTTGCTGCTAACAAGCTCTTTTTGAATGAATCTTAAACCCAAAATTATACTTTTTCTCTAAAAAATATAGAACCCATGACCAACAGTGTAAAATTCTTAGGAGTGCACCTTGACCAAAAACTTCTTCGCACACTGAAATAATTTCAAATAAGCTTTGCAAAAACACATGTGTTTCATCTAGAGTTACAAAACAGACATACTTTTCTTTGCTGCACTCACATGTAAGTTACGCTTTGCTAATATGGGGTCATGCAAATGGAGCACAAAGGGGTTTCTCCATGTAGAGAAGGGCTGTTAGAATAGTAGCTAGGTTGTGTTATCGAGATGACTGCAAGCAGGCTTTTATTGACAACAGAATTTTGACATTGCCCTGTGAGTATATCCTACAAAATCTAGTATATGTCAAGGATCATTATGATTCATTTATGTGTAATGGTGATTTTCACAGCCATGACACGAGAAACAAAAATAACTTAAGACCCATCTACCATCGTTTACAGAGATGTCAGGGTGGACCTGGATACCATGCTGTAAAACCTTTTAACAAACTCCCAGAGCATGTAATACAACTAAACAATTCCGAATTTAAGAAAAAAATTAAAGATTTTCTCTTAATAAAGGCGTTTTACAGCCTAGATGAATTTTATAATTCCACACTCAGTTGGACGGAACAAACATTATTTAAAACAAACAAATTATTTTTCATATTTATTTTCATATTACTTAATTGCCCTTTACAGTTACATCAACCAAAAATTGTTTCTAGTCATTGCTATACTTTTTTAAATTTTATTTATTGTTTCTAAACTTTTAAATGTCTTTGTCCTGATAATTGTTGTATTAGTGAGTGATAGTAAATTTGTAATTGTTGAAATTTTGAACATAACTTTTATATTTTTGTAAAACAGATATTTAAAAAAATTAGGTAGAATAAATCATGTAAAATAGATAGTTAATCCAATTGTTCAATGAAATTGTAATTTTAGATTACTAAATTGTATTGATTTGGACTTGTGTAAACACTGTACTGTGTATTTAAGCACCTATAAACGATTTGATTTGATTTTAAAAAATTAAAATATAATATTCATATTCCAAGAATAGATAAGATAAGATTCATCAAATAAAAACTCAATAATGATATGATAATATGCATTGATAGCAAAATATATTGAAAAATCTATGAGGGAGAATCCAATAATATAGAGCAAAAATTATCAAAAATAAAAAGGACTTGCCTGCTAGACTACTGTCGAGAAAATGGGAGCGTTTTAGAAACCAAACCTCTCAAACCAAACCTAACTAGTTTAACCAATCAGACGAGTACACCTAAAAGATCATATTCACTTAACAATGAAATCACAATGAAAAACCACGTGGAATAAAAGAGAATAGATAAAAATCCACTAGAATTATTTTAATTGTTTACAAATTATAATAATTTAAATTAAGGTTATGTCAAAAATAAATCGTTATCGCACAGTGTTTTCCATGCTTTTTCCTTTGACACGTATATTTCCTTGCAAAGTTTCCGTTTGGATATTTTATATACTTTTTGTTTTTTCGATATTCCCTCTTCGTTCCGCGTTTCCCTTTGGAAAGCCCCTTTTTTTCGCTTCACTTCGGTGATCAGGCCATGTATTTCTTAGTTCCACCAGTACGGAAGCTTATAGTTTTCATCGCATCTTACGCGAGGGGTGCTTTCCTTGTATACCTTCCTGATGAAGCTAAACATTTTCGTGGGGGAATCTGGGGCTTCCGTTTCGCTAATTATTTTCTTAAATCTGGATTTCAGTGTCACTAAATCGGTTATCCCATATTTATAGTTTGGTTTTTGTATATCCCCCTTTCTGTCGCGTATTTCTGTTGAATATACTTATGCTCCGTCAGTGATGGATCGTCAGGCTTATTCCAGGTTGGTAGTGTCGCCATGGTTTTATGGCAGCAGAATGTTAGGTCGATGTATGAGAAGCCTGATGTCCTCATTAAGGTCTGCACTATTCAGTCATTTGGTATATTCATAGAAAGTGTTGCTGTCCAATCTTACCCCATTTGTCCGTAGTTTGTCCACCCCATGCTTCATTTTTAGCACAAAAGTCTCCGGTTACTATGATGTTGTGCGTTTGAGACTTCTGCTGGATTAGTTTTTCCAGCTCATTTAGGCATTCACAAAAGTGCTCGAAACTAGTGTTTGGACTGATGTACGTGCTGAAGACGAGGTAGTTTGGTAGTTCGATGCCATGTAACATTTATCTTTGTGAAATTTTATCACAGACAGGTTTCTGTTTACAGCGACAATGAGCGCGTTCTTTTCTTGGTTGTGATACATGTTCGTATTGATTTGTAGTATTTTTAATTGCATTGCGAGTTGTCTACGTGGTCCTCTTGGTCCTTTGTGACTTCGGTGTCCATGGTGTTTGTTTCACTTCCCTTTTGCTTTATTTGAGTAACGAGTTTCTTTTCTCACTTGAGCCAGAGCCCTGCGATAAGCCCTTCGTTTTGGCATAAGGGGCATACTTTTTTTTGCATGTTGATGTGGTGTGGCCGTTTTTTCGCCGTCTTTTCGGCATCTTAAATACATTTTTTTTCTCTCAGGTTTCGTACAGTTGTCCTTTAGGTGGTCATATGTCCAGCATTTGCTACAACGGGGTACGTTTAACCTTTCCTCTATTCTGCTCCTGGATAGGCCTGTTTGGATGAATGGTTTCTTCAGTATTTGCTCAGTTTCCTGCTTCCTGATCCTCACGGTGACAGCCTGTGTGTTTCCTGCATTTGGCCTCAAGTCGCTCATTTTTAAATCATCCTCGTTCAGCTTTCCTACGATCTTTTCAAGTCCTTCTATGGCTTATTTCCTTGTGACTGTGATATCGAAACCTCTTATGTGGATTGCCTCCATTTTTTTTCCTCCGGTTTCTCTAATTCTTATGTTCCTTTCTGGGTCTTCGATTTTTTTTTCATCTCAGTGCTGCTTTTGTCCACGTTTTTGGTCTTTCGGATCTGCGTAGCTTCATTACCTTTTAGTTTCGTCTTCGTTTCGTTTGGATTATATCCTCGCATGTTTTTCCCGCTTGTCCAATTATCAGCGCTGGGGGTCTTTCTCGGTTGGTTCGTAAGACGTTTGTCTAACTTTCGCGTTTTTTGGTTATATAATATGATCGTCTTCGTCGAATCATTTTGGAATATCGTTTCTGTTAGTTTTCTGCATCGTTCGATGTGGTGCAGCGCGATCCACTCGTCATTTTTTGTCTCTTTTCTCAGTTGGATGAGCCTATCCCAGAGTTCATTTTCTGTATTACCTTGCATAATTTTGATGACTTTCTTGCAGGTAGAAGAATTCTGGTTTGATTTCCAATTGGTTCCAGGACCGCGAAAGCCTCATTTGTCTCTATTAGTGCGGGATATCTGTTTTTGTATGAAAGCTGTATGCTTTTTTTCATGCCTATGTCCGATGGTTCAACCAGGACTGTTTTTTTTTTGACTGTCGAGGTATTTATATTTAGGCGGTTTCCCACTCGAATTTCAGTCTTGGTATAGGGTTCTTTGTCCCAGTTTTTTGGCTCTATATCTAACCACTTCTCATATTATGTATCTACACCTTCTAGCGATCTGTACCTATTTTCTCTGAAGTTCCCATGGAGTTGTTTGTGTTTGTGCATCGTTGGTCTGTTTTTTTATGCATATTGGACATTTTTTTCCAGTTGTAGTTGTTTGTTTCGTGGCTTCTTTACGTACTGCTGGCTTTTCTGCATTTTTCTTCTTGCGGTCGTACTTTAGAGGGCTCGTTTGGGTATCTACTTCGTAGTTTATCTTCTCTGGTTAGTAATCATCGTGCCATGTAAGGTCTTTATTTGCTTTTGTAGCCTTTTTGCTATGTCCTTTATTTCGTTTGCGTTTTTTTTTTCCATCTGGACCGACAGAGTTGCATCTTCGAAGTTTACTTGCTTGCCTGCCTTTTGAAATATCTGCCTTAGTTTCCGGATGCCCCTCTGTTTTCGTCCTATGTGAGGTTGATTGTAGCAGACATTCTGCGTTTTGCCCTTGGGTCCTTTCCTTTTGCTGCTGTTGCAGGTATGCCGCTTTCTGTTTCAGTATTAGGCACCTGGTTTCCTGCCAGGGGCGCTGTCGCTTGTTGACGGTCGGGGCTGGCCTGTTCTTCCACCAGTTTTCCCGGCCGGTACTGGGGTGTCCCTTTCTGAACAGTAAACTCATTTTCCTTTCCATTGCTTGCCATAATTTCTTTTTTGTTTCCGTTTTAAGAAAGAAGATGATTGTGAGAATCAGGCCCTAGCCCTCGAATAACTCTAATAGCGTCGGGGGTAGAAATGAAGAAGTTGATCAAAGGAGATCTTTTAGGAAAGAAGAAAGTAAGGGGATCTGACTCAAGGCAAGTTGAAGAAAAGTCTGGTTTCGCCCACCTCGGGAATGCCAGCTTCCATTCTCATCAGTTATGAGCCCCTGAGGTTGAGCTGTCGTTAGCAACGACTGGCCGATGTAAATAAACGGTCAGTCGCTGGGCCCCTCCACCAACGGCCAGGTCACACAGCTCCTCGGAGGGGACAGTTGTCAATCTGACTCAACGCGTTCTGACTAATTCGGAAACAAGTGTTTTAAGAGAAGGAGGTAATTTTTCAATAACACCGAAAGACCTGCCATTCGACGACATCATAGCAAATGTGGAAGCCAGCATACGCACATTACTTCAAACCACTGTGGAGGAAATACGCAATGAGACATCTAGGATTTTACGACTAGCGAAACCTCTAAAGTGCAATTTGACATACGAGGAAAGGAAAGCTATTCGCAGCCTGAATCCACAGACAAGAAGATACTAGTCCTACCTGCGGATAAAGGAAACGAAATAGAGGAGGAATCAGCACAGGTGGCAGGGAGAGTCTTTCTTCCCTACATTAAAAATGTCACAGATCGCATAGGACTAACGCTAGAAAAACACAACATTAATCCCATCTACAAGCCCACAGGAATAATTCAGCAAAGTCTAAGATCGGTCAAGGATCCTAGGGCACCTCTTGAAACGGCTGGCGTCTATAGAATTCCCTGCTCTTGTAGATCTGTCTATGTAGGAACAACCAAACGCTCTATCAACCAATACCAGGGTCAAAGAGCACCAAAGAAACTGTCAGCAGAAACAAATAAATAGATCAGCAATCGCCGAACACGCGTTAATACAAACAAACCATGTCATTCGTTTCGACCAGACTCAAGCATTGGATAGGAGCAAACATTTTTACACCAGGCTCCACAGAGAAGTAATACAGATACAGAAACACCACAACAATTCCAACGGAACAGAAGAGGGCCTCCTTTTCGAGAACGAAAAAAGGAAAATAGCGTAATACAAGCCACGTCCACAACCCTGGATATAAATAACGCAGGTCCAACAACGTCGAATCCAGTCATCGGAGGAACACGAAAGTGTACACTTCGTCTTCTACCACACTGCCTCTGAAGATGTCTACCACAGCAGTAGACGAAACGATAGGTAGAAATATTACTCGACCACGGCATTATATCCCCTATAAATAGTTTCTTTAAAAAAATGGGTGAAAACAAAAGTAAGCAGTTGGTCGATATCTATGCACTCAAGTGTAGATATTGCGAAGCATAACCTCACATTAGGAAAAAAAAAGTTGTAGGAGGGTTCCAACCTCTTAGTTGAGTAGAAATTAAGTTTTTAGATTTCAAACAGAGTAGTTTTTTTTCCTTATTACATAGAATTTATTCTAGTTAAACTTTCCACACTGGTGCGGAATAGTTCAAAGACTGAATGTAATATACCTCAACCGATTTCGTGAGATACAGATGCGCTAAAATTCTTCTATAAACCTTATAATCTGATGTAATTTGAATTCCATCAACGTTGGAGCAACTTTAATAAAAGTCGGTACGATCAAAAGTGTTGAGCTTAATGATATCGCCCAGTCATTGATTGAAAATTTGCATAATACGGATCTTCGGCTTCGCATATTGCACTTCTGTGTCCTGATTTTTTTCCTAATATAAACGCGACATAAAGTTGAAATAAAATGAAATTGCCAAATTATCTGTTATTAAAACATTTGCATGGAATAGGTCCGTTAAATACCAATAAAAACAACCAGTATCTTTAAAGACTGTGGGTTTATACAAAATAAAGATAGCGCATGTGAAATTTTAAGTAAAGTTTTTATTTTCTCGTAAAATTAAGTGCGATGCTCGAACTTAAAATTTTCTCATGACTTTGTCATGCATGTTGGCAAGACGGGGAAATTATTATCAGTAGAGAAACTTTTTACTTTGATGGATTTCGTGGCATGTAATATTATAAAAAACAATAAAACGCGTGTAGAGAAGTTTGGGACTTTTTTAATTACTGAAAACATGGAACCAACTAGAAATTCTAGAAAAAAACATTGACATAAAAACGTAACCATTCAAATATAAATGTCAACGTCATAGGTGCTTTCATAAATGCAACCAGAACAGTCAACCGCATGAGAACAAAATAAATAAAACACTCTGAATAAGCTTTTGGGATACTCATTTCAACACCCCCACTATCACAAAAGCTCATTTCTTGCTAACTAAACCTAATTTATAAACAAACAAATTAGGTTTCACAGTTGGTAAGCCTTTTGTTAAGATATCAGCTGTCATTTCATTTGTTGGAAGACAATTAATATTTATTTGATTATTCTGGATCAATTCCCTTATGAAATGATGCCTGACATCTATATGCTTCGACCTCTTGTGAAAAATAAGATTTAATGCTAATTTACCGGCACTTTGATTGTCGTTGAACACTGTCACAACACTCTTATAATAAATCAACTCTGACAAACTGTTACTTAAATAAATAGCATCTTTGGCAGCTTCACTTAGGCTCATGTATTCAGCCTCTGTGCTCGAGAGTGCTACAGTTTTTTGTTTGTTACTTTCCCAGCTAACAGCTGCACCGGATAAAGTGAAAACAATACCACTGTATGATTTTCTGTAATTCTTGTTGCTAGCCCAATCAGCATCATCATAGCCTTCAAGCTCAAAATTAGCACCTTTTTGAAACTTTAGTTTGAAATGTTTGGTACTCTTTTTGCACACTGCCAGTGTTCTTCTGTATAGCTATTATTATATTGGCTAAGAAAGCTAGCAGAATATGCTATGTCTGGACGAGTAAGAACAGCCAGATACATGAGACTACCTATTAACTTTTGATATGGAATACTCTGATTACAAGTTTCCCCCTGAATATTCTCAAAATCAACATTATTATCAAGTGGAGTGGAAACACTTTTACATTGTCACATATTGAACTTTTTGAGTATTCCATCAATGTAATCTTCCTGATCTAATAAAATAAAATTCTCACTGTAACTTCTTTCAATTCTTACTCCCAAACATTGCTTAGCCTCACAGGGCCACAACTGTCATAAGATTTTTATTCTTTTTGATATATAAACATAGTTCATACTGAGAGATTTTTATAGTTTATTTCAAATAGAACTTATCCACTTTTTCATACCAGGCTCGACTGGATTGTTTTAAGCCGTAAACTGCCCGTTTTAACGTATAATCTTTGTTCTCTGATCCCTTCAAAATAAAACCTTCTGGCTGCCTCATGTAAACGTTTTGTTTCAAAACCCCATTGAGAAAAGCTGTTTTAACATCATGTACAATTTTTAAATCAATTTGAACTGCCAATGCTACTAAAAGTCTTAATGTAGAATGTCTTATCACTGGTGCAAATGTCTCCGTATAGTCAATTCCCTCTCTCTGTGTAAATCCTTTGGTCACTAA